TTCTGTGATTGGTAAATTCGACAAATTCTACCGATTCTGACTGCAATAATCTCCTGATTCCTATTGTGTAACCAATTATTGGTAAAACACTGCATAACATAAAATAATTTTAAATTAACACAAAATAATGATTTCAAAACAGGAATTTTGATAACATTCTCATGATGGTCTCTCCGATACACTTTCCACACCTATTTTATTACTTAATTTCACCAGACATAGCAAGAAAGGCTAGCTCTGGACTCTGAACTCTGGGGCCAAGGAGGAGCTACCTAATATATGTGGCCTCTTTCACCTATTGCTGTCTGTACCAGCCTGTTCTGCTGAGGCAGAAAGAGGATTCAGCAAGATGAAGATGATCAAGACCAATTTAAGATCTTGTCTGGGAGCTGACAGGATCACTGATCAGCTTCTGGTCATGCTCCACTCACCTCCAATAAGTTTCTTTGATCTCATTACAGCTATCCATCTTTGGAACTCAGGATCACTTCACACAAGGAGACCAAATGCTGATAGGGTCCAGATTGAGAAGCAGGTGCAGGAGAGTAACTAACTAAGAAGAGGATGAAGGAAGAATCCAAGAAATGAATGTTGAGACATCATTGGACACTGATGCATGTTAGATTTACTTTCATAATTTATTTTGATTAGGAAAGGACACTAACTTACATTTAACTCATCACCTCCTAAGCCATTTTAGAGTTATTTACATGTTTTCCCTATGTTGCTAATTTGAGGATTTCACTTATTACAAATTCATGAACAACTAATTAACAGCTGTTTCAGGATATGATAGAACTGATTGCTATATAGGTAGTAAGTAGCAATGTAAATTGTATGATTTTTCCATCTCTCCATCAAAAGTGTTTGACATTTTATTGACAAATATGTGTCAGCTAGATAGTAATGGGGTACATGTGAACAAGAATAGATTACACTGTGAGTGATGCAAAGGTTAACACTTTCCTAAATTGAAACCTCCGCTGACACTAACTATTTCTCAATGTTGACTTTGCCTATCTAAGCATTGGTCTTGCATACTCCAGTCTTTTATACCCCACTTAAATGCCCTTGGCAATATCTAATTTGCAAATCCCTTCACCTGCGTCAATGTACCATCTTATCCTGACACTGTATATAAGAACCTCACACAGATAATGTAATCACTTTTTCAAGACTTACACCATCCCAGTTACTAACACTGGCTCTTAGTGGGGAGGAAGGGCAGGAGAGTATCAGAAGAGGCAAGTATTATTGGAAATACATTTTCAAATTAGGAAAATGTTAACTTCCAAACATACTTCCAGTTTGGAATTATGAGGAGATAGTGGCCCTCCATCCTTGAACAATATACAACCTTAAATTGTTCAAAAGGGCCAAGCACACCCAAACCAGACAGCGTAGGATCAAATCTGAACCAGTATTACAAGTAGGCTCCCATGAGGGCTGGTGGCACTCCTACTGACATCTGCAAAAAACATCCAGGGACTCGGGTAGGAGGGCACCCAGCTTCAACCTCTTCTCCAAGAGTGGAGGAACAGACTCAAACACTCTGGAGGAAAAGCTTCTGTCCACCACCCAAGTGACTGGAAACTAGGTGTGGTAAGGACTCCTTAGTTCCACTAATAGAATGTGGGGGGTAATGCATTCTGGGGAGTCCTAAGGAACAGTGCTCTGAAAATAATGCAATAGAAGAACCAAGTACTCTAAATTTTTAAAAGCAAACTGACCCCGATTTATTCAATCCGATGATCGGCAGGGATAGGCAGAATCCATTTTAGCTTTACTCATGATAGTCCATGATAATATGGTAATACCAACTGGTAAGCACCTAGATGGTCTTATGAAACACCTCATTTCTACAGAGCCTGTTTTAACCAGTAGTAAGTATAGTCAAATGGGTTACTAGTGCAGAATTAGATTGATAAAAAAAGCACACCTGTCTGGGCAACACTCACCACAGACTGGGATCCAGTGAAGGCAAGATGTAAGGGACCCTGCAAAAGAAAGAGAAGATTACTCCCTCCTTATTATCTTTAATTAAATAATTTTAGTCTGTGGAATTGAAAAAAAATACATCCTACTGGAGGTGGAAAGTCAAAGCATACCAACAAACAAATGAGGGTACAAGGTATATCTATTCCATCACATAATAAAGCAATAAATCTCTCACCATGAACAAGGAATATCAGCTGAAGAAGGAAAAACTAAATAGTTCCCTCCCGACCATTCCACCATCAAGGGAGGAGTAAACTCAAAGGTCACAGAGAAAAGCCCCAAAATCTCATAACCCAAATGACTAATTGAAGAAAAGGAGTAGGAGGTGGTTGATCCAAATTCTCCCCAGAATAACCAGGGTCAACAGAAAAGGCAACTTCAGAGGCCCCCCAGGCCGATTGTATGTCTCCATCTCTCAATGGATCAAAACACGGACAGGAGAAATAGGAGAAGTCGGATTAATCGCCATGCTGACAACAGTAATATGGGAATTCATACTTGCAAACATCACGTCCAATTATATATACATAATGTGTGTATAAAGGAAATTATAATTATACAGAAATCCAGAAGGCAATGCAAAAATCACAATCCAGAACAGAACGTACCACAGCACTTCATCAGAAAAAAACGTGACCAACACTTTGTCAAGAAAAAGTGATTACATTATCTTAGTGATGTTCTTATATACAGTGTAAGGATAGAGGGTGCATTGACACAGGTGGAGGAATTTGCAAATCAGATATTGCCAAGGGCATTTAAGTGTGAACCTGTTCTTAGAATTTAATGACCTCCACGAACCGGTTGTTAACAATGGCCTATACATAGTAAGTTGTAACGTTATTATTAGGAGGTACGCGTATTTACAACGCAACTTTACTAGCAGGCTAGGCGGACTAGGTCTACTTGATCTCTGATGAATCATTTGCCAGCAGGTAAGTGTTTTTTTATACAGATTCTTATGATCTTATCTAAATTATTATTATTAGATCTAACTTAGTTATATCATCTACTATAGCCCAAGCGTCCTAGGCCTACGTGTGATTGCAAATCTGTGCTGAATTATTAGCCAGCGGGTGAACGCTTTTTCTACAGATTCTTATA